CAGAACAGGAACCTGCTGTAAAACAGCAATTATGCTGAGTCAGGCTTGATTTTTAATAATMTTTCCCTGTTAAATAAATCAAATCAAAGCAGTTTGGAGAGAAAAACAAAGTAAAAAATAAGCAAAAACAAAATGATTAATTGACTATTAAATTAGTTGACTATTTTAATAGTCGATATAATCATGGTAGTCCTAAAGTCAACCCCTTTAAGTTCATAACTATCCAAGATTTGACCACTTTTAATCCAGATAATCGTTCAATGATTCATGCAAACTGGACAGAACTGAATTTGACTCACTTTTTGCATTTCTGCTGAGGACAGAACACTGTGCAACAAGACTGCATTTCCAAAAAATGAACATGGCATACTAATCCTCAAATACAGAAATAATGGATGGACCCTCACCTCAGCCGGTCATCCTTCTTGACACCCAACAGGGTGGCGAGTTGTGTCAGGCTGTTCAGCTTTGCAGCTGGGATGTGGGGTGCATGGTTGCACCCAGCCAGCAGGTCTTTCTGCACATGCTCCTGAAGTAGGCCACTGAGGAGATAATGAAACTGAAGCACCACGCTCAGATGGCCCCTCTCCATCTCAGTCTTTGCCAACTGATCTTTTTTAACGGCTTTCTTCTGGGCCTTCAGCAACTAGAGGGCAGAAAGTCATACGAAGAACCATCAGGTGTGGTGCTTTCACATGTAAACTGATGGAAATAAAATGTGACCAGCTTTAGTAACCATCCTGTTTATAACTCAGAATTGACGTCTTGGTAGATTTTTAAAAATCATCTCACAAAGCAAAATCTCCATTAAAAAAGGAGAGATTCTCAAATGCAAACCCATTTTTGTTTTAAATGTTCTCCAGACATGTTTGTGTTAAACTGTATTTCCATGGCAAATAAAAAGATGAATAACATGATAGGTTGTATAGAGAGGTTCCACGCCTTACTCTCCAGCCAGCAGAAAACACAGGAAGACATGAGGACAAACAGAATTTCTTGGTTTGTTGAAAGTGGCTCCTCAATCGGGGACAGTGGTTCAGGTGGGCCAACTTGATCAGGACTTCCTCTTTTTGATTTCAGAGCATCTTTAAACACTACTGTTCAGTTTGTACAAAAACAGACACACATTACAGTCATTAATGAGTTCACAGTGAATTTCTTACTTTATTTGTTGGGTTTCTGTGCTCAGCATTAACTTTATTACATTGATGCTATAATATTCTATAATAGCCAACATGGTTTCCGCACGTCAAGTCAACCATGTCTGCATTAATTTTATTCACTGAACAAATGCATGTGCTGCTTTGAACAAAGGTCAAGTAACTGGTGCTGTATATATTGATTTTCGTAAAGCGTTTGACACAGTTGATAATTATACTCTCTTACAAAAGTTGATTTCTTTTC